TCTCTCTCTCTCTATCTCTCTCTCTCTATCTCTCTCTCTCTCTATCTCTCTCTCTATCTCTCTCTCTCTCTATCTCTCTCTCTCTCTATCTCTCTCTCTCTCTCACTCTCTGTTTCAATCCATGTATTTTTCTGTATCTCTCAGAGAGTTTCTATTTATAATACCTCTGTCTCCTTTCTCTTTCTCGTTCCTTTTTTATCTAACTCCGTTTCTATCCCTTTTATTTTGTTGCAAACCCTTTCTCTATTTATTCGCTCTCCGTCTACGCTTTTGTTCTTCAAGTTCCACATCCTTTTTTTTCCACCTTTTCTGTCCCCTTCTAGTTCTATTTCATTTGCCTCTGTATGTCTGCTCTCTCTCTCTCACTCTCTCAATCACTCTTAGTTTCTATATACTAATCAAAGTCTTTATTTATAATTACACAATTTTGCTAGAACTTTTGAAATATCCCTCGCACGATCGCACAACTAAATTGGTATCTGTTCGAAAGCGCGTGCGCTGTTGTAAACCGGAAAATGTTGACGAATGTTAACAAAATATGCAAACATTTGTTGCTCTTGCTGTTGCCGTTGCTGTTGCCGTTGCTGTTGCTGTTGCCGTTGCTGAGCAGCAACTGCAGCGATTGATTATGCGATGTTGTTGTTGTTATTGTTGTTGTTGCACTTATAGCCCGCTCACTCGACTTGGCTTGTGCTTAGCGATTGCTGCTGCTGCTGCTTTTGTTGTTGTGGTTATTGTTGCTGTAGTTATGTAAGGTTAGCTTGAGCTAGCGTCGAGCCATTGACAATGAATTGCAAAGTGCGAACGAAGCCAACGAACGTGCAACGTGTGGGCCGCAGCCCGCAAGCGCGACAACCTGCAATGCGTTGCACACACGTTACGCATACGCCGCGTGGCCGTCACTTTGACGCATTGCAGCTAGGCAGCCGAACAGCTGCCACAATTTCCGGCTGCGACAGGAAGTGATTTTTTCAATTGCTTTTCAGAAGTGCGAAGGCTGCAAATTTGTTGCTGTTGCTGTTGCAATTGTTGAAGGTGTTGCAGTTGTTGTTGGCATGCCAGGTTGCGGCCAGGGTCTGCTTGTCAAATGAACCGTTAAATTGTAGTGCCTGTCAAGTTGTTGTCAAGTGGCCATTCAAGTGCGTGTCAATGGGCTTTACAGTTATTAATGAACTACAAGAATGCATTTGACAAATCTGTTCTATATACCCAAGTGCCGCAGTTCATTAAGAGTATATCCGTTCCCTTTGCTCTCTATTGTATATACATACATAATACCTTTGCTTATACCTTTCACATTTGCTGTATCATGCGCTTGCCCCTCGAATCCGATGAATATCTGTATTATAATAGCGCTCTAATCCCCCAGCAACAACAATTAGCATTGCAAATAGTTCCAACAAATTGAACCGGTTGAAGGAAGAAGAGGAAGAAGAAAACAACTCGGTTGCCAAGCCCAAAGCCAAAGCAACGTGTTGAATTGCGATTAGCCACTGACTGGGAAATCATATCAATTCGGCAGTTTAATGACTTTTTATGATCGATCGCAAACGCAGACGTTGCGTAGACAATTTTCGATTGGATTTTCCTATTTTGGGAGCAAACGAAAACCTTGAAGCGAGTTTAAGGCCGATTGTGAATTGACTGTCGACAGCATTTCGATTTGGCGTGACGTTTTTATGTAATTGCCAATTGAAACAAATGTAAGCTCATATACGTTGAGCCTCATCTATATTGTAAAAAACTAGACAATAGTGGAATTCGGACATCACAATCGGCAGACACAAATTTTATAAGCGGCTTACGCGGCGTATGAGTCACACTACAAATGATAATCAGTATCCGTTTCTTATGAGCGTGGGAATTAGGTTCACAAATGCTCGTTTGAAATTCATCGAAGTCATGTAGACGATGTATGAGCAGAGTGTGAATCAAATGTTGCCCCTTCTATACCCT